CAGACGGACAGCCGACTCCAGCTTCATCATGTCAAGCTTCGTCGCAAGCTTCATCAGCTCATTCCGAACCTGGCGGTACCTGTGGGCTAGAGCGGGTGCTTGGCGAGTGTGATTCCATGCCGGGACGACGGTGTCATCATAAAGATAGACGGCCAAGTTCACCAAAGACAGCAGGTCAACCGATTCGAGGGTGATTATCGTCCTTCCATCTCCCTCTTCGAGACTTAGCACTTGCGGGATCGCCCCCTCACCACCATTGCGATAGTCGCTGAGCAAACTTCGCAGAACAGAGCTTCGGGCTGTCAAGATCCATGAGTGCACCGGAATCTTGACATCTGGACATGACGAGGTGCGGAGCTCCATGTCAACGTCCGAGTCCGGGTACATCAGGAGAAATTGTCGTAAGTCACCCTCCAGATCCCCGGACTTGAGGAGTTCGTACGGCAGCTCCCCTATCCGATACTTCAATTCCTCGGCTTTCCAGAAACCGATCGTGTCCTTGTCGCCGGGATTGGGCGTCGATGCCTTAAACTCTCGTATTGCAAATAGGGAGGCAAAGTCCTCCCAGAGCGACTGCTCGTTGATGCTGATTTGTTCCTTCATGACATCACAATCCTTGCGAATTGCCGCGAATGCACCAAACGTGGAGCTCCGCACAGCAACAGCATTGGTGACGCTCGGCACACGCTGGAACTTGAAATCCTTTCTCTTGATGTCTGCTGACCCCGGGGTGGCAGCATCCTTCGCTTTAGCGCGCTTGATACGACGCCAAACGGCTCCGGACTCTGTGCAGATGATCACAGCGCCGTGTTCACCAACACTGACGGACTTGACACCATCCTTCCGAGCATTCCACACGCATTGCGGTGTCGTGACGGCACCCTTGATCTTGGCTGGATTTGTCGTGGAAGTTGCCGTCGTAGTCGCATCCGACTTGTGGATCAGTGCCATAGTGAAGAGATCGCCCCTCGTAGTGACAGCCGCAATCGTTTCGCCGCCGGATGTAATGCGGCTGACCTGATTCCGTGCTGTACTGTACCTTGTCGACATTGATGTGGTGAACTGGTGATTTACAAAGATGTCAGGGGAAGGAAACTTGACAAAATTATAACCGTAGCTTGTAAAGACGCAGACGGTGCTGTCGGCCAGCAGGACGGTGGTCGCTTTATCTACGGCGGAGACTGCGGCGATGGGAGAAGAGAAGAGCGAAGCTGCGACTTTTCGGGGAGTTTGTTGGACTTCCAAGGATCTCGAATCCGCATCCATCAGCGCCAGCTGGCCGAGGTTTTTACCCCAGCAAAACAGTGACGAAGAGGTATGGGCGACTGAATGCACGGCCGATGCTGCGATGCCCAGAATTACCTCCTTCTTGAGTGTCCCAAACACTTGTCGTGGGGTGGTGCTCATCGGTTCTTCGTCTTGTCTGGCTGGCGGCGGCAAGCCATATCCCAGCTGGGAGTTGCTGTTGGAGCCCCAGGTCCATAGCTCGCCAGCATCTGTGACAGCCAGAGTGTGGTTCTGGCCAAGTGCAACTTGCACCACCTTCTTGTCGGCGAGACCGCCTTGTACCGGCACGAAGCGGTATTGAGTATTTTCGTCGCCTAGCCCAAGTCGCCCGCCTCGGCCAACACCGCAGATGTACAAGTTCGAAACCGGGTCAGTTGTCAAGATGGCGGTATGCAACTTTGAGAGAACAGCATCGTGAATCCGCAGAGGCCGATTGCGGATGAGGGCTGGAATCTCTTCCAAGTCCACATCTTCCTCCGGCAGGCTGGCACCATGAGACACAGCTTTGGTCTTCTCCAGGTACTCTTGGTAGAATCTGCGGATGAGTTGATCCGGCCGCTTCAGATTGATCCTTTCGGGATACTGCCTGTCGTCTTCGTCACCCACACCAAGTGAGATGTTGCGGTTGCTTCCAAAAACAAAGATTTCCTCGCCCTCTGCTGCGCCATCAAGTGCAGCGACTGATCTCAACAATGCCTGGCCTCCATCTGAGGCACTGTCTGTATCCGAGTCGATGTCGGAGTCGTCGGGGTCTCCAGAGTCTCCCAGTGCTCGAACAGCAATGGTTGAGTTGTAGAGATCAAAAGGACTGTTGCCCTCGCGGTCTTTAGTCTTGATCAACTGCCCAACCTTGGCGACCGAGACTCCGAGGGTCTGCTCTGTGAGGATCTTGCGCTCTCGTTCAAGCAGCAGACGAGCAATAGCGATGTTTCCACAGTAGAGCGCTCGGTGGAGCGCGTTCCAGCCACTCTCGGGGTCTTGCACATATAGATCGATCGAGGGGTGGTCGAGCAGGGCCTGGACGAAAAGAATGGCGGCCGAATCTGTCGAGGAAGCAGCGCGGAGCAGTACTGTGAGGCCAACATGATCACGGCTGTTGATCTCAGCCTTTCCGAGACTATTGTTGGGATTTTTTGATCCAGCAGGACCGAAACCGACGGCGGAGGATTTGCGTTGTTTAACGTTCCGGGGAGAAGTTCCGTATTGTCCGGGACTGCCCCCAAGCGGTCCAGCACCTATACCCGGGCTCCTTGTCGCAGTTTGCGCCGTGTGGCCGGCCGGGACCAGTAGACGCCGAAACCTGTCGACATCGTTTTCCCAGTAATATTTCCAAAGTAGGTGACTCATGGGCAGATGGTAAGCAAGGGACCCTTCCAGCACTTGGATAGCACCTCGCTGTGAGTCTCTGGGATCACGGCTTGTTTAAAGGTGCGATTCCGAGCGCGAGAAGAGCGGAATCGTGGGTATTGAATCGATACGGTTCGAAGACGGCCGAATGGTGCGCGGGGGGTGTTGTGAGGTCACAAAGCCCTAGAGTTGAGCGACGGAGGGGTTTATCGAAGTTGCCACTTGGTCGTTGAGCTCGTGACTCTTCGATACGATAGCGTAGTAGTAGTCGAGCGGCGAGGGTATCTGGTTTGATGAACGGTGTCACGGGCCTGCGAGTTTTGGTGTTGATTCCTAGAAAGATCGAAATGGACGGAAGATGAGATGAGGACGACGGTTGTAGGAGGGTCGTTGCTGGCGAAGAGATGTGAATCGGGGGTGGGGTTGGCGATGGAAATTGAAGGTATTCACCTCAAGTCGCCAGTTGTGCGCGTCAGAGCCCGCCGCGCCGCGAATTCCCGGCTCCACGGGGGGGATGCAGCGTGGGTGACAGGCACCTTGGTGCGTTATGGCGCAGCCAATCGGACTCGAAGCTGGGAGCTTGTGCTCTGGTTGCAGGCCAGACAAGCTTCCAGTTTGTCGCTCCAGGTGGGGTGGCCAGCGGGCAGCGGTGCACTTCTGGGGGGTTGAGGCATGCTGGTCCTGGCATGTCGACCAAGGCATAGGGAATCTGTCTGCTCCAGTAAGCATGTTATCCTCGAGAACCCAAGTCCTGGCAATGGCATGGTAAATACTCTACAGCCTAGTTGCATTCCATTCGTAAAGTACCTTAGTTCATTAGGTACCTAGTGTGCAACACTCAAGGTGTTTTGCCAAACACCCTGGATCTATGTCACTATCCAAGGTACCTGATCATATCATACAAGTCCAAGGTACCTTACCTAGTCCCTAGGTACACATAGGTATGCGTATCTGCGTCTCTCGAGAAAGGTTGAGTATGCTCACAAAATTCTTCGATTTATTTTCGCTATTTATGTCCATAGATCCAGTCTTCACTCGAGCAAAGCGTTGAAACAAACCCGCGGATATTTGCCCCAGCTCGCACCAGTGGTGGAAACGAAACAATGAAAGAAGTGCAAGTCCCATCTTACAGATGCACGTTACGTGCTTATCTAAGGCCGTTATTAGGTGGGGAGCTATCCCCCGCCAGATGCTGCACCCCGCCTGCGGCCTCTCTGCCCTCGAGACGCCGGGATCGCATTCGGGCTGCCACACTGGGTGCCGCTCAATAGTGCCTCATTCGGCAGGCTTGCATATTACCGAATGCCATCTGCTTTCTTGTAGTGCCATTGAGGAAGATACCGAAGTGCCTAGTTAAGGAAGGCATAAAGATCTTACCTTTAATTATTGGCAACCTATGCCGGTCATCTATGTGTACCTTGAGTTTTTGAATACCTTAGATGGAGAGTCTTATCCGGCGAAAGCACCCATTCTCATCGCCATGACTTGCCTTTTTCAGATACAACACCCCAAACAGGAGCGTCTTGTTCGGTATACCTATGTGAGCAGGCAATTTGGTGCGTTGATGGACTCTTGTGTCTGGTGTTGACGATGGTCTCCAATGCTAGTGTCGAACCGACGATGCCTGACACGACTGGTAGTGAAGAGTAAGGTGGTGAAATCAATGTATGTGAAGACCGTCGCATTTGAGTCGGAAGTGTCGCCCGAATCTCGGTAATAGACGGCACACGAAATCTGTCTCACCGTCACAGTGGCAGATGCATCTCGGCATGGGTGACACAGCTGCCGCGCTGCCCAAAATGAAGATGAGGTGGCCCGGGCCCTGGGGTAAAGAAAGATCCCCCCCAGGTCCCCGGAACATCCCAAAAAGCCACCTGCCCACGCTGCCGCAGTGCCGCCATGCTACCAAAGCGAGATGCCAATACGTAATCCCGCTGGTCCCAGGAGAGCGCACCAATCAGGGGCTTCGCAAGTGTCAGGGACGATGAGCAAGGTGCTGCAAGAGCCCGTCCCCGGTGGAGTCCGGCGCCGCTCGGTAACTTGGAAACTGGCTGCTTCAGACTTTCAGTGCGAGCTGCACACAAAAAAAAGAGACCGATAAGGGACCTCCGCCCGGGGGTCCTGGCGATAAGAGCCCAGTTCCCGCTAAAGCTAAGACTCCGTACCTCGTTCGATTTTCCGCTCCATTCAATTCACTCCAGTTTCCCAGCGCCTCCTCAAACCCTCCCACCTACGCACCTCAACCCGCCCGATTGATTTTGCTCCTCGGTGAGTTCCCAATTGCATTCGCCATTACCCTCCTCTCCTAGCTAACCACTGTCTTATTAGCTGTCTACCGTCAAGATGTCGACCGACAAGCCCCTCCCTTTCCAGTACCAGTTCGCCGCAGGTTCGTTGCCCGAAATCCCCCCCACCGTCGCGATATCGGACCCGAAATACTGACCACTGCATCCAGGCGCCATTGCCGGTGTCTCGGAGGTCAGTACACAACGATGCCATACGGTGATGAACTGACGAGATATGCTTACGCTTTCTGTAACTCTAGATTCTGGTCATGTAAGTCAAGAATCCTGTTGCGACACGCTCACGTGGCCACCATGCTAACCCGCGCAATAGGTACCCTTTGGACGTCGTCAAGACACGAGTGTAAGCTCTGCGCGATCGCCAGCCACTCGCGCAAACCCCGACTGACCCGAACGTCTAGGCAACTCCAAACCGGCAAGGGCGTAGGTGCCGACCACTACAATGGCATGGTTGACTGCTTCCGCAAGATTGTCCGCAACGAGGGGTATGCCAACCCACTCCTTCAGCCTCCGCAAGTGTATTCACCAAGCTTACAAACCGCAGCTTTGCGACACTCTACCGCGGTATCACCGCTCCCATTCTCATGGAGGCTCCCAAGCGTGCTACCAAGTTCGCCGCCAACGACGAGTGGGGAAAGATCTACCGCAACCTGTTTGGCGCCGCCAAGATGAACCAGTCTCTCTCCATCTTGACCGGAGCCAGCGCCGGTGCCACCGAGGCCTTCGTCGTCGTCCCCTTCGAGCTTGTCAAGATTAGACTACAGGATAAGGCCTCTGCCGGCAAGTACAGTGGCATGCTCGACGTCATCCGCAAGACCGTTGCCGCCGAGGGTGTCCTGGCCATGTACAATGGCCTCGAGAGCACCATGTGGCGCCACATTGTCTGGAACGCCGGTTACTTTGGCTGCATTTTCCAGGTCCGCGAACTCCTCCCCAAGGCCGAGAACAAGGCCGGCCAGGTCACCAACGACCTGATCTCCGGTGCCATTGGTGGTACCGTCGGTACTATCCTCAACACCCCCATGGACGTCGTCAAGTCCCGCATCCAGAACAGCCCCAAGGTCCCCAGACAGACCCCCAAGTACAACTGGGCTTGGCCCGCCGTTGCCACAGTCGCCAAGGAGGAGGGTTTCAGCGCGCTGTACAAGGGTTTCCTGCCCAAGGTACTCCGTCTCGGTCCCGGAGGCGGTATCCTTCTCGTCGTCTTCACCGGCGTCATGGATTTCTTCCGCACCCTCAAGACCAACGCTTAAATCCGCACCTGGAATGGAACAGAGTAAAATTTTTAGAGAAAGAGAGAGACAACCGGAGGATTGTACATCTTGTACAGGCAGATACCAACACCGGGGCTTTTTGGATTCTGGCGCTCAGCAATGCAATCATTTTCAAATCTTTAGGCTTCACCTTTTCTATTCCGTGGCTCTTGCGAATGGCAAGATACGTTGCCCGCCAAAGTGACATCTAACTTTGTGTGACCAGATACCTTGACTGGCATTGCTATCGCCTGCCGCGAGCTTTGCGTTGTTGAAGACTGAATTGGGCCTTGAATTCACTCTTTTCTCTCACATTCTGACCCAATATACAGTTCATTTCCAGGATACCTCGAGCCAACCCGCACTTTCCTCTCCCTGTTCAAGAAGGTACGACTTAGTGAGGCTTCCTCGCTTCTCCGCGTTACTGCTATTTATACGATTTGGCTGCCGCGTACGCATGAGCTTGTCTCTTCTCCCTGCTACACATCCATACAACCTCAGACTTGTCTGTCCAGACGCAACTTCTCATCAACACATCTTCAACAGTCTTTCTGGCTCGGAACTGATATCTCGCTTCTGACTTCCGATACCTCGAGCCCGGTCATTCCATTGCATGACACCTCAACCGCCTGGTCAGCTTTCAATCTACGCTCACTCTCCGATCAATCAACTTTTGGCTGCATACTTTGCACACGAATGACGACTACTCCGGGAACAGTCTCATACAGCCTCGGTCAAAACATACGTCTTTTTTTTCCCGCAGACCGTGGCACCTTCCGTGGTCAGGCACATCACTCTTGCCTTATCTTACGAGGACTACTTCAACTCCTCTCTGAGCCTTGGCGTCTTTGCTTCTCACTTATCATAACCTTGACAGTTCTACTTCTCACATCACACAGTATCTCTTACCCTCCGCATAGCTGAGCTTAGCTCGAACTTACCTCGTTGTTGTGGCCCTCGACACATATGCTTGCCAGCCACTCAAAGGCGATCTCAACTTGACCACTCTCAACGGATCGCTGACAATCACGATGGAAGGTCACTCGCGATCCATATCACGAGCCATCTCGACGGCCCGCGCAACGCCAGGAGGCCTTCCCACCCCTTCTCCTCCAGCTCCTTCGCCTCCTCTGGCTTCAGGAGCATATCTCAGCCAAAGCTCGGTCGTCGTCCAACCACTAGCAATCACCGCTGCCGTCTCCGACAATCACAATATCGACAGTTCTTCTCCAAGGATCTCCGAAGTTGAGTCGTCTTTTCAGGACCTGCATGTCTCATCTCAGGCGGGATCCCCTTCTCAAGCCGCTGTCGCCGAGAGATACAGTAGCCCTACAGCTCACACAGGCACCAGCTCCTACATCCTGCGGGTACTGAGTCAAGAAGAAGAGCTAGATCGAAATGGACTTATTGTCTTGAGTTCCAATGAGACAGATGAGCCACTGCATCACTATGACCCAGGTGACGACGAAGTCGAGTCCGAGGACGACGAAGTGACTTCCGAAGATGAAGTGGAGCTTGATCGGGAAGAGATCATAGAGTCTGATGAGCGAGTGGGTACTATACAAGGTGAAGACGAGAACACTGAGGAAATCGGCGACGAAGACGAAGAAGATAAAGAAGAGGAAGAAGAGGAAGAAGACGATGAAGACGATGAAGACGATGAAGACGATGAAGACGATGAAGAGCTCGACGGTGAGCCTGACCCTCTTGGTGACAACGATGAGGAGCTGTCTTTGCCACTGCCCATCAATCTCAGTAGTCTTGGCTGCAGCGACGCTTGCCGATCGGAGCTCCAGCAGGGCATCGGCATCTACGATGAACAGATCAAAAGACTTGAGAGCAAGATCCATGAACTCAGTCTAGACAACCACACTTTGAGAGCGGATATAGCCAGGTTAGAGAAAAAGCGAAACAGCCAAAACAGACACGAGCCGACATGGCACAAGGAGCTTGGCCTATACCTTACGAACCCCGCCCACCGAAAAGCACTGCCCTATACTGACATTTACAAGCTGTGCTGCAAGGAGGAGAATATGAGCACGAAAACTGGCAATGTTCATCCTAACTTGCGACTCAGGGGCCCAACGAACAAAGAACTCCAAGCTGATGCGCTCGAAGGCCTCTATACTAATTTGGTCAGTCAGGACAGTGAGTCTGAAGAGAGCCGTGACGGGCCTGAGAGACTCTTCGTGCAGGACGATGAGCACCCCGAGGAAGTCCAAAGCTCAGAGGACCAGCAACCACATGCGGACCCCTATCTCAAGGATTTTCCTTTTGATCGACTGCCTGCCAAAGTACAGGCCAACATCATCAAATTCGTCTTCGTTGAAGAAAGCAAGCTTGTTCACTGCATCACTCGTCTCGATGGATTCATGCCTCCTGAGCAACCCACGCAGACAGACGCCAAAAAAAGTGGTCTCCCTCGTCGCTTCCACCTTTCCGGAACATCTTGCAATATCACATACGGTATGAAACCGAACACTCGACTCGCTCTGCTCACAGTCTGCAAGCGTTGGTACTACTTTGGACTCCACGCTTTCTACGGTTTGAACACCTTCGCCTTCTCGAGCCTGGGAGAATTTGGCCGTTTCTGCACTGGCATCGGAGAAGCAAGAAGAGAAAGAATCCAGCATATTGAATTGCTATGGGTTGGCAGTCAGTATCTCACTCACAGGCCTGTCAAAGAAGGCAGAAAGGGCGTACTCAAATATGTCTCCAAAAGGACATGGGACGTTTCTTGGCTCTGCCAGCTGCCTCGCCTGAGAACTCTCATTATACATATCGACGAGAGTGGCCCGCAGTACACGAGTCGCCGTCACGAGCCCAAGGCCTATGCCGACTGGATGGCGTCTGTCACGGCTGGTCAACCCAACTTCCGCATGACGAGATCCCTGCGAAATCTCCAGGGGCTGCATTTTCTTCACGCACTTCGTGGGATGGAGCTCATCCAGTTTTACGACTACAACATATCCCGCCAGGAAGGTGGCCGCCATCCAATTCGTGACTGGTCATTCTTCATGGATATCGAGAATGTGACGGCTATGCCAAAGACTGACGATAAGGCAGAAGCCGCAAAGTTGGCCAATTTGATTCCGGTTCTTCCACGGTACGAGGCTTCTCAAGAGGACGTTGAGGCGATCAAGGGCCTCTATCACAGTAGTCAAGCCTTTGACGCAGTGTATGTGTCGCCGCCAGTTGCGGAAAGGGATGAAGACGGTGATATTGAGATGGCAGACGCTGAAAGCCAGGACCCGGCCCAGCAGCGTGCTACGGTGACATCTCGAGGGGAATCACGAGCCAACAGAGGAACAGGAAAAGCAGCTTCGAGGGATGAGTCGGAACAGTCAGATTCTATCAATCAATCGAAGGGCCCACGTCCTGGGAAGGGGAAGAAGGTCGCCCGAGCTAGGAACACAACGCCCGATAGGGACCTTAGCGGAACCGAATCCGAGGCTTCTAGCGAAGCTACCCCGAAAGCACCCATCCGCCACGCTCGAGCGGAAACCGAGTTGACCACTTCTACGCTTACGGAAGACAGCGTCGCGCACGACTATGACGACGAAATATCACTGGCAGGATCAAGTGCCAGCAACCCGATCGACTTGGACAGCACAGAGCCACCAAAGATGAATTTACGCCTATGGCGCCTTCAACAAGAAGACAATTTCAACCGCGTTAAGCGCGAGCAATCCGACGCAATGTCGATTGGCCGCGTGTCTTCAGCCGGAAGCGAGAGATCCCACGGCAGCGGAAACGGCCTCTTCGTCGGCGGCTCGTCGCCGTCAATGTCCCACTATCGACCACACCGTGAATCCACCGTGCTGACGGATACGTCACGCAAGAGAGGACACGGCGAGGTGGATATTCGAAGCGCCATCGATCTGACGACAGATGATGACGATACCAACTACTACAACACCAGTTTCCCAAGCTCTTCCATGGCCACCTCCTCGCGCCGCACCGGTATTGAAGGGCCCTGGGGATACCTTCCCCCTATCATACAGCAGGAGCCCTCTCACCCTAGACTTGAGCGTCTGGCAAGCGTTGGAAGCGTAGATGACTGTCCTTTCAACAAAAGACGAAGACATTGACTCGCCAGGATCGGTCCTGAATCTCACTAATTGATTTCTTACAGGTTTTGCGGTTGGTTAATATCTTGCGGCGTTTTTTTTTCTAACAAATTTCAAGCGATTTGCAGCACTTGCGGTGCTGAGCCCGACGAATTTGGGAGCTTATATGCGTTTTGCTTTTGGTCGAATCAAGGGGCACAGGAGATGGCTATCTCACTTGCATACCAGTAACTAGCCACATAGGCAGACAGCGAATGATTTCTTTCAAAAGTTGACTTGAATTTTCCACTGATATCTCGCTTGACATCGTGACCTAGAAAGTGATCTTTGTACCCGTGAACGCAGCCGTAGTCTGCGCCTCCTTAGCCTTCTTCCTCGCCTCCCAACTAGGATGCAAAATCCCCTCATCGTCTTTCTTGAGCGGCACTCTCGGCTTCTTCTTCTCCTCCCCTCTACCGCCGCGATCCCTACCCTTGCCGCCGCCGCCGCCCAATGGGTTCGAAACACCCTTCTTCCAAGGCTTCCTCGCCCCGCCGTCCTCGTCGGCACCGACAGCACCCTTCCTCATATCCCACCCGCTATCCCGCGCGCCGCCCGCCCCTCTCTGCCCGTTGGCCTGCTTCTTGACGTGGTTCGCCGACGCGCCGTACTTCTTCTCCCAGATGGCCTGGCGCTGCTTCTGGCCGAGCCGCTTCTTGGGTGGCGCGAGGTCGAGGTCCGAGGCCTCGGACTCGGAGTTTGAAATGTATCCGCCCATGAGCGAGGGTAAAAAGGTCGTCTCGCCGGGCCGGCCTGTAGGTTTCTTGGCGCGCTTGACTTTCTTCTCTTTGCTGCTGCTCGGTTCCGGTTCCGGGGAGAGGGAGACGTTGGCGGCGTTGATGCGGCGTTGGCGGTCCGAGTCGTTGCCGCTGTCTTCAGCGTCGTCGTCTAGGTCCGCCATCTCTTCGTCAGAGTCCTCGTCTTCGTCGTCGCTGTTGCTCTCGTCGTCGGCCGTGTCCCCTTCGTCGGCGACTTCACCCAGTAAAGCCTTGTACCTGGCCTTGAGATCCTCGTCGGGGCTGTCTTCTTCCGAGTCGGAGCCGCCGAGCATGGCTTCCATCTTGGACAAGGCCTTTTCCTCTTCTTCCTCGTCTGAATCAACCTCCTCCTCCTCCGTGTCGGCTACGTCTGCATTCTTGCCGCCGTCTGAGGCATCGCTATCCGTCGGGATCTCGTCGTCCATTTCGTCAAACGGGTTCGGTTCCTCCTCCTCTGCTTCTACCTCTGCCTCCTTTGATTTGGACTCGGCCTTTGGTTTCGCGGATACATCCTTTGCATCCACCAGCTTCGCCTTCTTCGACTCCCTAGGTTCGTCGTCCTCCTCCTTGTTTTCTTGCTTCTTGCTCTCAGAAGTCGCGGCAGAATCCCTCTTGCCCTTCTTGCTCTTCTTGTCTGGTATAGGCACGTTGAGGATCAGGCACACGCCCCGTACCGCCTTGTCAACAGCCTCCCGCACATGCGGGCGATTAAATAGGCCACTGGTGACGTTGTGCAGCGCCGCCTTCTCCTCCTCCGATAAATCCGGCTTGGGCACGCCCTGCTTGATCTCTTCGGGGAGCTTAGGACTTTCGGCGATCTGCTTGATTTTGAGTAGCGAGGAGTGGAGGTGTGCGTCGGCGGTTTGCTGTAGGTCGAGGGACTGTAAGGGAGGAGAGCAATTGTCAGCGGCGCAAACTTAAAATTGAAGGGGCGAAATCTTTCACCTTTAATACCAAGATCTCCCTCTCCAACCGCTTGACCTTGTCTGGCAACGCCTTGTCATCGCGCAAGCGTTTGCTATACCGTTGACGCTCGAGTCCCTTTGCGCCTTTGATGGCCCGGAAAATCTCCTTCTTGTAGTCGGCGAGCTTCGCCTCGAGATCATCCTCCCGCGACCTCTTTCGTTTGACCATATTGGTGGTTATGTTCGAGTTCAAATAGTGCGTATGCTCTATCGCGGGTGTAAGATTATTATGCGCGGGCAATCGTCAAACCTCGAAGCTGGACCACTGACAGAAAAAAAATGTGGTTCAGCGATGGAGGTCTAATCGATAAGGCGGAACGCTCGCCGAGAGAATAGCCCACTACGGAGCCGAGTTCTGTACAATGCGATTGGTCATAGATGATAGCTGCCGTTTTTGGCGAGTTTCATTGGTCACAGCTGCTCCTCCAGCGATCATGGATGACGTTCCCTGGGCTCTTGGAGGGGCATTCGAAGCACCCCGCCGTCACAGATAGCCCGTGGACCTGTGCTATTACAAATGAGTCTTGCTTGACAGCTTCATATAAGTAGCTATTCCCACGAAGTTACTCAAAACTAGAACGAAAGTTCAAATCTCTGCACTTTGTAATTTCGATAATGGCCACCAATGATGACCTCGCTGCTCTCGGGGCTGGCAACCTCTTTGGTGTCAAGGGCATGGTTGCCGTTATCACTGGTGGTGGCTCAGGTGAGTCATTTGGGCGATAGCTTCATAGCTACCGTGAAATTGCTAAATAATTCCCAGGAATCGGTCTCATGATGGCAAAGGCCTTGGCAGCCAATGGTGCTGAAAAAGTCTACATCCTCGGCCGGCGCAAAGAGGTCCTAGAAGAAGCCGCTGCATCTGTGGGACCCAGCATCATCCCTCTGGTCTGCGATGTAAGTGACAAGAACAGCCTCAAGGAGGCAACCGCAGCCATCGAGAAGGAAGCCGGCTTTGTCAACCTTCTCGTATGCAATGCTGGTGTCGGAGGACCCCAGGTCAAGGCGCCCACGCCCGAGATGACAGCTGAGGAATGGGCCGAGCAGCACCTTGCCCATGACACGGCGGACTACACACGAGTCTTTGACATCAACGTCACATCCGTATGGTACACCGCGATGGCTTTCGTGAAGCTGCTAGACCTTGGTAACAAGAAGGGAAACCTATCGCAAAGCTCCCAGGTCGTCTCGACGAGCTCCATTGCCGCCTTTAACAAGATTGCTCCCGGTGGCTGGGCGTACGGCCAGTCCAAGGCGGCTGCGACGCTGGTAATCAAACAATTGTCAAGTAACCTGCCCCGTTGGAACATCAGAGCCAACTGTATTGCTCCTGGATGTGAGTCTTCTTGCGACCGTAATATTCAGATCCACACTGACCCTCATCAAGTGTTCCCGAGCGAAATGTCGGCCCCAATTGCCAAACTTTACGCCGAGGACGGCAGTGTCCCCAAGGAGATGGTGCCTCTTCAAAGAATGGGCGATTCGCAAGACATGGCAGGCGTCATGTTGTACCTTGCTTCGAGAGCTGGTGCATATTGCAACGGCGCGGTGATAACCGTGGACGGAGGTAGACTTGGAAACTTCCCTACCACATGGCATGCTTAGGTGTTCTATGGTATCCACGCGCGGCTATGAGTGATCTGAGACCCGTCGAGAGACGCTGGTTGTCGGTGCTGCAATTAGAGCGGCGCTGCTGTAAGTTTCAACTTGATACTTACCACAAGGCGCAGCTTCGAGCCGCTAGTATGTGTATTGAATAAAAATGAGAAGGTACATACGCCATAGAAAAGTAGATCATCAGCACCTTAGTATGAAATACGTTACCGAGCTCAACCCTGACAACAAGGACCCATGGCGCGGTGAATTTCGGTGAGAGATTAAGTGGGACTTGTCTCACCTGGACCCAGTTCCGGAAATACGCCGGCTAGCGTCGTCACACTCCAGAGCCCAGTAGCTAAGGAGAGGAGGAGGGGAGGAGAAAGCGCAGAGAAGTCGGAAAAGAAGCTCAGCATCCCTCCCCCACATTCTCTTCCCTGCCCTGTCCGGCTCATGCAAGTGGCTTAGCTTTCGGGCGCGCGACACCTTGTCTCTGCCCGCTTGCCCCAAGGCTCAAGCTGCGCGAAGCTCCGGCGTCGTCGCGATCTGAGTTCAGTGAGGTGCTCTGCTCTTTTTTTTGTGCCCAATATTTGTTGTCCTGGACCAATCGACTGCGACCTGTCTGTCGCCCATCCTTTGACGTCGTTTCTTCCGTTCCCATTACTATGGTCATTTGGGCAAGGAAACGCAGACCAAAATGGACGGAGACTGGGACGAGGTACGTTGAAGCTCATCGTCACCCCTCAGTACCCTTTGCGACGCACCTTCGTCGCAAGCCTCGCACTTCTTCTCGTCTTCTCCCTAGCTTAGCTTGCGAATGTCGCGCGTCTCCTCTGGTAGCCATACCTTGAACTAACCGATTTCATGGCTGATAGGTCGCTCGCATCCCCTTTCCGCCTCCGGGCATCCACGCCGCGGCGACGCCCGTGTCGACCATGACCTTTGACACGGCTCAAGAGCTGTTGTGGACCGGAAACGACTATGTACGAGCTATTTGATTCGAGTTTTACCGACGACAAAGACTGATCATGTTCTAGGGCCGCGTCACGTCGTTCTACCGCAGCGAGCTCCAGCGCTATACGTCCTTCAAGGCCCATACCTCATCCGACGGCCCGGTTAGACAAATACTCGTCAATGACAAGGGTGTCGTGGTGCTAGGATCTCGAGACATTCACATGGCTTCGCGGAAAGGCCCTCCGATATGGCATATAAGGTGCGGGAGCATAAACCTGACCCATTAGAATTCTGCCTGACAGCATAAACGCAGACACGATGATATGAAAGACTTACGATGCATGAGCTTTACGTCCAAAGGGACGTCTGAAATTCTAGTTGCTGGGTTCCAGGACACCATGTTTGTGATCGACCTCGCTAAGGGAGAGGTGGTCAAGCAGGTCCGTTCGATGGCGGTATTATGATGAGGACGCCTTGCTGATGAACCCAGGTTCCGACCGCGTATTCATATAAGGTTATGAAGAAAAGCAGATACATCTGCGCCGCCACAGAGGCCGGCACAGTCAACCTGATCGACGCGGCCAACTTCTCCGTCGTTAAGAGCTGGAACGCCCACTCCGCCTTGATCAGCGATATGGATGCTCAGCATGACTTCATCGTCACTTGCGGCTATTCACTGCGGCAGGGACGAGATTACATGCTTGACCCGTTCTTGAATGTGTTTGATATCAAGAAAATGTCGTCCATGTCGCCGATTCCGTTTCCTGCTGGAGCTGCCTTTGTCAGAATGCACCCAAGAATGTCGACGACTAGTATTGTCATGTCCACAAGTGGCCAGATGCACGTTGTTGACCTGATGAACCCAAACACTAGCAATGTGCGGCAAACTAACACGATGAACTACCTGACCATGTTCGAAATCGCGCCATCCGGCGAAGCCGTGGCTCTGGTAGATGCGGATCATAACATTCACATCTGGGGCTCCCCTTCGAAACTCCGCTTCGTGGATTTTGCCTCTCAAACTGAGTTCGCAACTCCGGAAGAGCCTCTACCTACGATAGAGTGGACTGCCGATACGTTAGTAACGCCTGTCTGTGCTCGATTTGTGACATCTGCCACGATGACTAACCTAGTACAAGACCTCTCAACTCTATTGGCATGCCACATTATCGGGAGGCGCTGTCGTCCGCCTGGCCAGATCTTCTTTCTGATGTTGGGGCTCCTCCGACCAAACTTGAGTCACAGTTTGTTGCGGGCCTCAAACAGTCCGAATTTGGCCACTATGGACGAAATACACGGGGCCTCCGAAGGAACCAAGTTGAAGATACTCGGAACTTGGACAGAGGAAACGCTTCGGGAATCCTTGCGCCAAAGTTTCTCAGCGAGAAAGCTAGAGAGTTTGCCATGGCTACAGTCGGCAATGCAAGCAGCGACGAAAAGGCTGACGACGTTGCCCACTCTCTGATGCAAATGGAAATCGACCCTACCAAACAAGAGTGTCACCCGATGTACCGTAATGTTGAGATCAAGTACAGCAAGTTTGGTGTTGACGACTTTGACTTTGGGTATGTCAGCTTATCGCACTGAAACGGGTTGGCTTGCTAACCTTGTCCAGGTTCTACAACAGAACGCAATACTCTGGACTCGAGATCCATATCGCAAACTCATACGCCAACTCTTTGCTGCAGGTCATGAACTTTACGCCTCTTATTCGAAACATGGCTCTCCAACACGCGGCCACTGCGTGTGTTACCGATACTTGTCTGTTGTGCGAATTGGGTTTCTTGTTCGACATGCTCCAAAAGGCCGAAGGTTCAATCTGTCAAGCAACCAACATGCTGAAGACACTCAGCCACCACCCCCAATGTCTGTGATTTAATTCCCTGTGTCTGCGGCGAGTATTGACTGTTTCGTAGCCGCCAACCTTGGCCTCCTTGAAGAAGAATCGAATGGCTCTACCTTGACGGTGATGCTACAGGGACTGACGAGGTTCCTTTTGGAGAAGATTGTGCTGGATTATCGTTCTATGCCGCCTGGCTCGAACATGATGGAGCAGGTTCGTCAAATGCAAGCTAGAAAATGTTGCAGTAGCTGACCGTCTCTAGATGCTCACAACTTCCGCAACGAGTTCGATTCGGTGTATCAACTGCAGATTCGAATATACTCGTCCTGGATCGAATTTTGTCAACGATCTGATGTACCCGCAAACAACAGGGACAGGGGTAAGTCCAAGCTACTGTGATCTTCGTTCGTGTTCTCAAATGTGTTGGTTGTCGTCTTCGGATGCCGTGACTCGCGTATGGCCAGCTTCGCCAACTGCTTCGCCTCCCGATTTTCGGCCGAGGTTCTCCCTTCCTGTTCAAGCGCTAATTGCTCGCAGAAGAACGTTAGCCGGGGTCAGAAAGCGCCGAAAGTGACGTTTTCACAAATCCTGAAGTCAAGTGTTGAGAGGGAAACAACGTCAAAGGGTTGGTGTGGTCGGTGCCAGCGATACCAGACTATCGCAACTCGCAAGACCATCCACAATATCCCCGCCGTCTTCATGCTGAACACAGCAATCGGAAACTCGGAGCAAAGGCGTTATTGGTCGACACCCGGATTCCTTCCGGAAGAAATTGGCGTTATAGTAGACCACGGCCAGTTCTTCTGTTATGAGGGAGAGGATCTAAAGCTTCACCTACAGCGCGGTATCCATAATATAACGGTGTATTCGCTAGTAGGCATGGCAATGAATATTGACCCAGGTCCGGGTCAAAAACCTCATCTGGTCGCAATGGCCAACGGTACGTTATCCTTGTTGCTTATGGAGTGGCGATGCTGATAAGTCCAAGTTGCCCATTCGCAGCCAACCGCCCCGGCTACAAGTCAATGGCATTTGTTCAATGACTTCCTAGTTCGGTCTGTGAGCACCGAGGAAGCTCTTTCGTTCCACCCGCCGTGGAAGACACCCTCGGTAATTGCTTTCCAAATCAAGGAGGCAAATAACAAGATCGATATGGACTGGAAGAAGAACATTGATACTTCCCTCCTTTACGAAGATAACAAGTTGGTTCCCTTCCTGTATGTGCCGTCATAGGTAGCCTGCTGACCCATCAAGTCCTCATAACGACGGAAAGACGTACCGAGCGCTCGATTCGGCGAGTGAAAGACCCGGGCCAGAGAGCATTGTCGCTTTAGACACGGAATTCGTCGCCGTCCGTCAGCCTGAAATCGAGATGAACTCCGACGGCGAAAGAGAGACAATTCGGCCGATCGTGTACGCCCTAGCCAGAGCTTCCGTCGTCCGGGGGCAAGGAGAGGACGAAGGACTGCCGTTCATCGACGACTACATCTCGATTAGAGAGCCCATCGTTGATTACCTGACATCGTACTCGGGTATAACTCACGATGATCTGGATCCCCGTATTTCCAAGCACAATCTTGTGCCGCTGAAGGTTGCCTACAAGAAGCTTTGGATCCTGCTGAACCTGGGCTGCAAGTTCCTCGGCCATGGTCTTAAACAGGATTTCAGAGTAATCAATATACACATACCGAAGTCCCAGGTCATCGACACGATCGATCTGTTCTTCTTGAAGTCTCGCCTACGGAAGCTCTCGCTGGCTTTCTTGGCTTGGTACTTGCTGAAGGAAGATATCCAGCTGGAGACTCACGACTCGATCGAGGATGCTCGGACAGCTTTGAAGCTATACCGGAAGTATTTGGAGTTCGAAGATGCAGGTATCCTGGAACCGATGCTTCAAGACATCTATCGAGGCGGGCGAGACGTCAACTTCCGGCCACCTGCTAGGAGCGGACAGGCCGCTGATGTCCAAAGAACAGATACGCCTCCTCCCTTACCCAACGATGCACCCTCTACGCCGGGGGCTCCGGGAGGTGGAACATCAAGTGGCGGCTTCGGGGCGGGCTCAACTTGGACACCAGGAAAGGGTTCACCTCTTCGGTGAGCGGGTCAAAACAACGCTGAGGGCTCATTCGGTGGCAGAGCTTGTTCAGAAGACGCTTATTTCAACTTTGTTAGACAGCAGTATCAATAGAACAGCGAATCTTCTTACTGATGATCGTCCCGTTGATTGTGGTCCTCGTTGCTGTCTAGCGGTGGTTCTGCCGATGCTCGTCAATCTTGTGCCGCAGACTATGGTTCGCTGATTTCAGGTGACGGCTCTTTCTTGACAGAGAATCGAGGACCAACTTTACAGGGCTTGAAGCCAGAGGAGCTACGCGCTGTTCCTGGACGAGGTAGGCGGCAGGCTCGATCTTAAGACTGGGGAAGGCGTCGCCGCTACGATGAGCAACCACGCTGCCGCGGCGTAAGAGAATGAGCTCAAATTACATCGCAAGGAACTTGGCAGTCTTGAGAGTACTTTGGAACTAATTTTGTGTGCACCTCGATGCGCGCTGTGATATGCCGCGATGATTTCTCCCGACGAAGGATGGCATCCCGGGGCCGAATCCGACGTATTCCTTCGGCTACCTCAACCGCACAGCATTGCGCGAGCATATCCAGCCATCAAAATGTCCCAATAGACCTGCCCCATCTTCTGACTCTTTTTTTACGACGGTACCTCATCTGCGCGGCGATCATTCGATGCCAGAAGCCAGGAATTGACGATTCTCAGCCGGCTCTCAACGTCCTCTCGACTTACAACCGCCAATTCCACCCTTGACGCGGTATTTCTCGCCACAACAGACCTTTTTCATCAGGAAAACTTGCACATAGCTTCAAATAGACATGATAAACATATTGGTATGGTTTTCATCTCTTCATATTGAATTGCGCCTCCGTTATCCCATCTATTATACCATTTTCCTTCCATCGGACAGTCCAGACGCGCCATCCCAACTGGGCCTAGCGGGCACCTGAGTACAGACGCTACACCACATTGGTCCTAGCTTTCAGCCCTACGGGTCGTTTTTGCAACCACCCCCTCAGAGGGTGAGCTAGTTCGGCCAATCAGGTGTTACTGATCTGGGTGCACTGTCCGTCTACTTCTACCTCTCCTCCTCGAACCGCCCCCAAACCTCCATCTTCCTTTCCTCTTCACGGTTTGATCGTTTGATGCTCTAGCTTTGCTACGATGACTTCTTTCTGCTTCTCGCCTGCTTCGGCTGCCGCCCGCCCGTCTGAGACCGGTCCGCAGTCCAGGGTTCAAGTCCCTGCCCCCGTTAACGCCAGCACCCTCGTGGCCTCGCTCGGTTCCTTCCTCCGCCGCGTCCCCCGCCTTCTCGCAGCCGCCGTCACCAGCGCTGTCCGCCCGATCCTGTAACTATTCTCATCTTCAGCCTCACTGGGTCTTTTGTCTTTTTGATAGCTAACCAGTCTTCTCTAGCCGGTACATCGGTACCCCGACACCCCCCGCGATGCTTGCCCGTAGCTCGTCTCCTCGTCAACCCCAGACTGGAGCTACCCGGCCCTCGATCACGGTGTCGTCCTCTCTTGGTAAGTCCTCTTCTGGGGGCTTTTGCTCTCTGTTTACGGAGCCTGTTGTGCACGTAACCACTCCTCCTCCCCGTGGGCCTCCGCATGGATGGACCCTGAGTATGTCCCATTACTTAGGGCCGGAATCCCGGCTCAGTCCTTCTTCGGTCGGCTCTCCTTTGGTCAGGTCTCCTTCGCCATCGGTTGGTTCTGCGTTTACGGCTCCTGTTGGACCTGTTTGCACTCCTCCCGGTCGGTCCCCGCATGGCTTCACCCTGAGTATGTCCCATTACTTAGGTCCTGAGTCCCGGGTTGGTCCTCTGCCTCTGGAAGGTTCCCCGTCTTTGGTCAGGTCTTCCTCTCCTTCGGTTGGAACTGTGGTTACGGAGCCTGCTGGCCCTGTTTGCACTCCTCCCCGTTTGTCCCCGCGTGCCTTCACTCTCAGTATGTCCCATTACTTTGAGTCTGTTCCCCGGGTCAGCCCTTCGTCTTCGGTTCGCTCTGCTTCATCTGGTTCTCCAGGATCTGGTTCGGTTTCCGTTTCCAACCTGGAGGATCCGTTTGTGGACGACGCCGCTGACCCTGTTCTGGCTTCGCCAACCCGTCCTTTGGTTTCGCCCATCCGACCTCCTTCTGACTTTGAACAGTTGATGGCCTTTGCCGACCGGCAAATCAACCTGGCCCGCGCTTACACCGCTAAGCGTCGACCTGCCCCTGTTGCTATTCCTGCTCCCAGGACCCCGGAGCCAAGGACCCCAGAGCAAAGGATACTAAGGACTCCGGAGCCCTGGACGCTTTCCCCTATGACTTCCTCGCCTTCGGTGGATGCCCCCGCTGAGGAGTCTGGCTCGCTGTTCCGTGATCCGGTTGACCCGCCTTGTACGCCTCCGCCTTGTACTCCTCCTCCTCGTGAGATGGATACGCTCGACCGCAGCGTTGAGCGGCAACGGCTCCGGGCCCGCGAGCTCAGCGCAGAGGCCAAGGCGAAGTTTGCGCAGATCCGGGCTCTCTTGTCGGATTGGCCTGCTCCCCAGAGGCGGTACGCGCCCTCTCACGACTACAGCACGGATTCGCCTACGCCGCACACCATCTCCAACTGGGACTCGACTTTGGAAGAGGATCGGGTTTCGGAATACTCCTGGACCAAGGGCGCCTTCCCTGTCGCCTCTCCTGAGCCCCCTGGAGCCCTGGCAGAGTGGGATTCGCCGGCCGCCTCCCCTGTGTATTCTGGATCCCCTGTCGCTTCTTCCTCTGGTTCCGCTGGCTCATCTGATTCCGTTGGCTCGTCTGGTTCCCGTGGATCATCTGGATCGTCTGGTTCTTCCGGCTCTCATGGTTCCTCTGGTTCCACTGACTCCTCTGGTTCCACTGGCTCCTCTGGATCTGGTGGCTCCTCTGGGTACTGTGCGTCCCCCGGATCTACCGGATCTTTCGGTACTTCCAGCTTTTTTGGGTCCCCCGGCTCCTCTGGTTCTGCCGAGGAATCTGGATCGATCTCTTCCTTGCTGGAGCTTTATGGTCCTCGTTCACCCGTGCCTGTGCCTGTTCCTGTGCCCGAGCCTGAGTTTGACCTAGTCACGTCCATGATCACGACCCAGCCCAAGGGCATGAAGGCAGTCACCCTTAAGATCAACCGCCGCGTTCCTCGAGTTAGGTCTTAGGCCTTAGGTCCTTTTTGGCTCCTTCTTCTTGGTTACTGGTCTTGGTTACTGGCCTTGGACCTGGCATTGGTTTGTTATGTTGTGTTGCCCTTTCCCTTTTGGCTCTAGGAGCCGTTGAGGGATCTTGTTATGTGCTTGTTTTGGTTTCTGTTTTTGCTCACTCCTCCACTCTCGTTCGCCCCCCCCCCCCTTTTGGTCAGCTAACTTCGATAGGTCCCTCGTTCGGGAGGGTCATTGTACTCCCGCTCTCATGATCTAACTTCCATCTCATCTATTTATCTACTATATATTTCAATATGCTTGCTACATAGAATATGTCAGCGATATCTGTAAGTCTCCCCCTTCCACCACTGAACTGTCTCAGTCCGCTAACTCTGAGTATGCAAATCTAGATCTAACCATACAACTCGACATCATGGTAAGCTTCCCTCTCTTCTCTATTTCCATTTGCTTCAACTAATATCCCCTCATTCAGACACGATCTGCCGGAATCAGTAGAGTAATCATGGTTGTCATGGTAAGTAAGCCTTTGGTCCTTCTTTGTCCCTATGAGTTTTGACTACCTCTTAACAATCTTTGATAGGTACCGTGGTACTCGTCAAAACAAGGTTGAACAACATGGCAAGTCATTCATCCCTTTCTGTTTTTGTAACTTCAGCTGACTTCTAGTTAAACTCAACACTTTTTGTGGCAAGAGCCAAACGCAAAATGTAAGCACACCCTTTCATCCTGTCTTGATATTATTGTCTAATGTAATCGACATGTCCATAGGAAACGATATCTATTCGTCGCCATCGGTCTAAGGCATTCATTTGATATCTTGACCTGTACCAATCAAGGCTCGTGGCAGATACCCTGCTCAGTGCTGGAGTGACTTCTATGCTGGCCGCTATTACCTTTCATCTGCCTGCCCCTGTTGCACTGTACCACCCAAGCTGCTCTCGTAGCGTGATCTAGTCAGACGTGGAGGTGCCAACTTGATGCTTGAAACTGCAGTCTGCTACAGTCCGTAACTGTGCCTTTTGACAACAACAGTGAAGCGACCTGTCTTCACTGCGTCTAGAAGTATGAATACAGGTCTCAAGCCTGAGGAGTAATAGCAAAGTAGTATGGTTACTCTCGGGCGGAATGAAGATTTTGAGTAACTTCTTATCAACTAGAGAAGTCTTTCCTCACTAACTCTGCAAGCTGCTTTTGTCGGATCGCATCATCGGCGTTGTCAAGACCTTGGATCTCGTCGTAGAATCACGGGCGAACAGCGCTGTACGCGCCACCAGAGTCGAAGGCAGGTGACGATGAGGTCCACGACACATGGAGACATACTAGCGTGGTGTGGGATCTGGTGTCCATTACGGCGTGGAAACGAGCGAGTTCGAGATGAGATGAGGTGTTCCAGGTGCTCGTCAGCTGCAATTCTGGAGACCACTGCTAGTTCACGATGACATCCCGAGCGCCCTCTCTCCAAGTTTTGGTTACCTGAAGGTGATCCGTGAAGATCTGAGACTGAGACTGCGTACTGCGGTTGCAAAGGAGTTCCCCTGTATGATGTGTATGTAATTCGCTGGTGGTGTTACATTCGTTGTGTAGAACCTCGCCAGATAGCCCTTGCTTGTATTTCCACGGACAGCGGTATGGCACTATGGGAGACCAAGGACAATATCTACACAGAGCATGTGAGCGTCCAAAGGTGTCTGTTTGAGTGCTTTCTTAGACATTGTGAACGACAGCGTCATGCTGTGCCTCCTCGATTGGGCCCCATGTTCTATGAACGCCGACTTATATGATTGTACCTAGTGCTTGGGATACCTCAGCGGTTCCTTGAGACCTGCTCTGCACCGTTCATGGTATAACTAACATTGTGAGACCGGAGCTTTCAATAGTGAAGGTACATTACTGGACACCCAATTGCACCACTATCGAGACAGAATGGTGTGGGTGATGATGTAATACACGGCACTCCAAGCTCTTCATTAAATACGGAATATCACTAATGTGCAGCCATTCGGAGATTTCTCACACTAGAGTAGTACAATCAAGTAGGCAAAGTCAAAGATATGATGTAATGAAGGCGCAAAATCGGCCTTGGCCATCAAATGTTGTCATAAGGTCTAATCGACACTTTGCCGAGCCAAGTTGCCGTAAAAGGCGGAAATACCTCAACATCAACATGACCATCCCGGGCTGCCTCCTAGCCTCCCAGTGATGGCGAAGCGAGCCGCAAGAGGCGATGGCATCGCAGCATAGCCGAGCCAAGAACCGCTGGATGATGAGGCTCGGGCTAGGCCATGGTCTATTCACCTTTGAGGCCCTCTACTCTTCTTTCCGGGGGAGCCCATTCCGGGTCTGGAAAAGCCCGCATCTCTTTGGGGCCTGGATCACGGATGGATTCTGAAGTCTCAAGCCGAGATGATGAAGATGAGCGAGGGTTTTCGGCTTAAGGGTATGAAAGGTGCGGGAGCGGCCGGGTTGTGATGGGGGTGGGGTCAATCGATTGGGTGAGATTGCGAGATTGTGAGCACCATGGTGACTGGTCCAAGTTGAACAGCAAACAAGGGAGGAGACGAAGTCCATCTTGGGTGTTATTGGTGGTGATGCCTGATCTGGGCGGCCAGTCAGTCATCCCACGTTTCCAAGAAGATGATTTACTAGGGGGCTGGTTAACGATACTGCGACTCTGTTAGTCCATGAATGTGAGCTCTGCGATAACCGAGCTGAAGTGCCATCCCGGCTTCTCAGGGTCGAGTAGCCGGAATACGGAAGATCTCTTTTGGGATGCTTCGTGCTATCGGTGTACGGATACGTAGTGCGGCTCATCAAATATGCAAGTTCAATCTTGTCAAACCAGGGGTCCGAGACAGATTGTGTAGTGTATGATGTACGAATAGACAAGCAAGCGGTCAGCAGCATCGGAACCACGCCCGGTGGATGGGGTCATATCGTGCATCCCCATTTCACTTCTTCTTGGGACGGACAAGCGTCATCCCGCGGGATGGAGGGACCGCGCATGGAAGTGAGCGCTAGGATGTTTGCTCGGTTGGGAAGACGGGGCGGTACCTGAGGTTCCTGACATTTCCGCCGTAGGGAATAGAAGGCCGAGGTGCATATTCCATGTTATTGGTTTGATTCTTTTTTGGAAGAAGCAGATTGAAGCATCGAGAGAGATGCCGTTTGGCGTTTCCGGACCGGGGATGGTGAGCTCGGATTCACTCGGGACGAATTTCCGGCAAATGGATGGATCGTGGAATTGCTGGTAACGAGCAAAGAGGAAGTGCGAGCAGAGAGCAAGAGCGCAAGGGATCGGTGGTTTTTCCACCAGTGCCGTGGCAGGTTACCGAGCTTTCGGGAATAACAGCAAAGTGGTGCACGGGCGTCTGCTTGCCAAATTAGACCCTAGAAAGACCAAGGATACGCAAGTGAGAATGTGAAGCTATCTCGCTCGCGTCTTCGCTTTTACGGCGAAAATGTTGAAGACGCCGATATGAGCCAAGCAAAAGAGGCTTTTTGCGGTGTTTTCACTCAAACAATGAAATCTGATTCGTGTTTGTTCGGAGGGGGATCTTGCCTAATGTCTTGAACCGCGACTTTCCGTTGCGGCATTGGCACATTTCGTTCAAACTTGTTGGCCAGCCATAGCCGAATTATCGTGGATGGACAGGATAGAGTTTGGAGGTTTTGCCAGATTGCAAGGGATGGCTGGCCCAAGGCGTTGGTATGGCTGCGTCGTCCGTATCTTCCAGCGGTTGAGGACCGAGGGTGGCTCGCCGTTGCGGACGATCCCACTTCGTTGGGGACCAAATTGGATGGATGGTGCAGGGCTGCGGTGGCTCAACAGCTTCACATGTCTTCCGTTTGAGCTCGAGCTCGAGCTGAGAAGCGTGGGAGATGATACGGGAATAAGGTCTTTGAGGTGGAAGCAGCTTATCAAAGTTAGCACTAATAGTGGTAGTCCGTACTCTGACTGCCAGAGAGACAACAAGTCCAATATCTTGAGCGAGCTCAATAGTTCCCAATTCCCCAATTCCAACAAGATGCCTCTCGGTGAGACATGGCGGGCTGAAGGGGAGCCGGCGTGGCCCCAACGGACGGATCCGACGGGGCGCGTGGCACTTGGACGTCGTTTCGGTGAGGCAAGGTGAGTCGAGGGTAAGTGGCAGAGGTGTGAAACCAATCATGATGCTCTGTCAAGCTGTGACGAAATAAGATGACCCGAGTGGATAGTATGGTGCATGAGATACGGGGCCGGCATAGAGGCTATTCGAGCTCAGCCAGTCTTGAGAGCTGGAATTATTATCATTCGCGGGAGTTGGGACAGCTCTCCTCACACGAGAATCCAGGCGCCAAGTGCGCTTGTTTGGCAAGCACAGGGGAGCGAAACTAGCTACGTCACCCCAAGGCCCAAGTTTGATGCTCTGCTTCCTCTCCAGCTTCATTTCTAGGGAGATAAGTATGAGGCAAGATAGACTGACTTTGTGAGTGATATAAAGGGAACCATGACTATTCCTTCTTAGGATGAGAAGGTGACTGCTTGCCCAAGGTCTCTTGCAAGCAGAGCAGGAGGTCATTTAGTGACCCAAGCACAATGGAAGCTCTTATCGATACTCGGCACGTGTACCATTACATAAGCGGATTAACTGGGTCTCTTCGCCCATGGAGCGCTTTATGGTCCGTGCATATCCACTACCCCGCATTCCTGCAGCAGGTGGCAGCAAGCAGTTCGCAGGCCAGTCCCAGACGAGAGCAGTGCTCTCTGCAAATCCATCCCATCTGCCAGACGTCTTCTTACAGTATGAGTATTCCCTATGCTCTTTTGGAATACACAGCTCGATGCGATGGCGAGTGACCTTTACCCCAACTTTGATCAAGTACCTCGACCAAATGCAACGGCTTCATCGGCATCGTCGGGGCTTTCTCGTCTGCCCTCGGGAGGACGAAGGGAAAGCCAAACGAGCAAGCCAAGGAGCAAGGGAGCTGTCCTGTCATGTCTGGATGCTAAAATAAAT